AAAAAGGAGACATATGTAATACTCTTTGTAATACTTTAAGAAATAAAAATTATTAATAAATAAATAAATAAAGATACTCATATATGAGTAGTGTCAATGAGATGAATGTTCATACCCTCAAACCCCACATGAACTCATTCTTAAAATGGGTTGAAGAGGATAAATTCCCATTACATCTTTCACAGTTGTCTTTCTTTTAATTTAAAAACACAGGGATTGCCTGAGCAGCATGGCTCAGTGGTTGAGCATCAACCTATGAACTAGGAGTTCAAGGTTTGATTCCCAGTCAGGGCACATGCCCAGGTTGTGGGCTGAATCCCCAGTGTGGGGCATGCAGGGGGCAGTCAATCAATGATTCTTTCTCATCATTGATGTTTCTATTTTTCTCTCCCCCTTCCTTCCTCTATGAAATCAATAAAAATATATTTTAAAAAACACACAAGGAATTCTCCCCACCCCCTCTTTTTGTTCCTTCCTTTCCTAAACAACCCAGTTCTAAACTGTTCAGGTAGGCAGAGCAAAGTCAACATCTGTGCTGGCAATCAGAGCAGACCGGGCATAGACTGGAAACTGAGGTGGCCCCAGCAGGGGATCAGAGCCCAAGCAGGGAAGGGATACCAGCCCATGGAGGCAGCCTGATATGGGGGAGGTGAAAGTCCATGGCGGGGAGGTAGCTCTCCAATTAGTGTCAGAGGCAGAACACGGCGAGGAATGGGGTAGGACATACCAGAACCTACACAAGGTAAGGAGGGGTCCATGGGGAGGGAATGCCCAGCATAATGCTGGAGAGGGTTGAGGGGGCATCCATGTAGGAGAAAGGGTAGAAACAGAGGTGAGAAATTGGCTTCATACAGAGGGGTTGATCAAAAGTATAAATATATTAAAGATCAACAGCCAGGATTGTCACTTTCAGAGAAGAAAGTAACAAATACTGAATGGTGGTGGGGAGGTGGATAGTAAAATGAAATCACTAGCTGGTGATTTCAGTGTAGCCTGAGGAAGTAGCCATGGTGGACCAAGTGAATTCCCTGAAGGAATTAGCAAGAACATCAGACTGATCCAACAAAGTGTGATTGCCAACTGGCAAAGTTCTCTAAACACCTGCTCTTAGAAAGTAGGGCCCCTAACTGAAGCTGGCGTGCTGTCCCTTGAGAATTGCCTGAGAGGACCTCTAACTGCCACATCATCTTCCAGTTCCCCCTGAGACTTTATAGAACAAGAAGTCTTGTTCCTGTTTTACTTTCTTCAAGACCACATTTTTGGAGTTTTACTATAAATATATTATGTATGATGTGGAAGAAGTACAAAGGAACTATTAGAAAAGTTGTATTGGGCATTTTAATTTTTCAGTGAGTTTCTATAAAAAATATTTTAGTCAAGACGTAGCTATTTGAATGGCTCAGCACTAACAGCCTGGAACTCTGCTAAGATCCTCCCCACCTTTCTCTATCAGGTCTCTCAACAGCTTCTTAAGTCTCTGCATTGTTTCCACAGTGTCTCCTCCCTGTCATTGGTGGGAAGCTGGCTCTGTCCTGTAGGGGAGGCAGAAACCAGGTAAGTTTCTCTTGTGCAAGTGAGATAGTTACCATAAAATTTTGTCCCTAACTGTCCTTTCCTATACTTTCAAGGGATTTGGAAACAGGCCCCCACTTAGTTGAAGGTACCATGTACCAGTACAGATACCATTAGCACTTCATGCTTCATCCTTGAACATGTCTTATACCAGTCTTTCCATAAGATGGATCCTTCAGATGGCTTTGCAAGATGAGCAGAAAATTGGAAGTGCAGCTTCTGACAACCTCTGGTGACAGCAACTACACACTCTGCTTGAGTAACTGCCTAGGTTTGGTTTTTAGCCACCTGCACTGAATGCTGCTGCCCTTCAGGAAAAGG